CTGGGTCTGTGCCCTCTGTCTCTCCCTCTCTCTGTGTCTGCAGTGTGTACAGGTCTGGGTCTGTGCCCTCTGTCTCTCCATCTCTCTGTACCTGAAGGGGAATGACCGGGCTCAGTGTGTACAGGTCCGGGTCAGTGCCCACGAAATTAGTGGGGGAGAAGTGCAGCTTGGGGCGCAGGCAGGTGGACAGCCCCACGCCAGGGAGACCGTGCTTCTTCTCCACGTCAGGGTAGAGCTTGATGCTGCGTGTCTCCTCTGTCATGGGCACGATGAACTCGTTGTTCATCATCAGGCGCGAGCGCTTGGCAGACTCCAGGTGCATGCTGATCAGGAGGTCGTAGTAGCCGCTGCGCAGGGGGCCGGGCAGGTAGGTGTTCTCGATGGTGTAGAGCAGCTGCGACTCGTCCACGTGGCTGCAGAGGGCGTGCGCCACGCGGTTGTTGCCCAGCGCACAGACGGCGCAGTACAGCTTAAGGGTGTGGTGATGGAACTTCAGCAGGTCCAGCCGCTCCGAAAGCTCCAGGATATCAATACACCTGGATTGTAAGGTGGGGGGGGGGGCAATAGACAGAAGTGGAGACTTTGACCTTTAACAAACTTCATCTTAACAAAATATCAAAAAGCACAAAGAAGAAAAAACTCAACTTGTGTGGCTTGTGTAATGTGAACTCACAGTAACAATGTATCACAACCCATCCCTCATCTGCTCCCCAACCTTAATCTCTAAACACTCCTCAAAGCACGTCAATCCATCAAACCACCATTCTCTAAGGCACCATCCCTGCACCCCACTTTCCACTATCCACTAACCCACCATGTCTCCAGCCCCACCATCCAGCGAGCCAGCCCCTCTTTTCCTCTTCCACTCCTCTGTCTGTACCTGTTCTCCTCCGGGATGTGCAGTGCCATCATAATGAGGGGCTCAGTGCACTCCACCATCCACCCGTGCCTCTCGCTGACCCGGGCGGACTCCGGTTCCAGGAACTGGTTGGGCATGCGGCTCCACACCACTGGCGTCAGCATCTGGATATCCAGCCGGGGTGGGCACTGCGGCACCGGGTTCTTCCGCTCACTACGGAACATCGCTGCCGAGATGGGCATGATGTTCTGGAGTGGGAAAGAGACAGAAGGGCATCAATGAATACTGAGAGACAGACAGCCCTACAACATACAGACACGGAAACACAGACAGGCCCACGTAGTTTTTCACACACTCCCGCACACTTACAGCACAAGAAGAGACACACATGCACAAAGACAGATGGCCACGCGCACACACACAGTCTGACGCACATGCATACCGAACCACCACACACAGACACGCCAACCGACACTCCAAAATAAAAGTAATAAGCCCTTGTACTTTCATAGGAAGGGATCCACATCACCCGCCACTGGGGGGGCAGCACCATCTGGGTGACACAGGGCAGCTCTGCTGCACCTGCAGCCCTGCAGCCCAGCAAATGAGGGGAGGAGGGAGGAATCACCTCACCAGCAGGATTAAGAGGAACTTTAAGAAGGCCATACTCTCTAAACCCAGGTTAAAATATACTGTAGCTAGGGCACCAGGGTTAACCCCCATTGAAGATCATACCGATCATATCGATCATGCTCTGGTTTGGAAATTCTACTCTAGAGGGAAGAGCTAGTTTTCCTTAGATATCTCCCTTCCTGGTCCTTATCAGACTCAGCCTTGCTTAGATTCTGAGACCTTACAAGATCAGGCTAGAAGGAGGTCACACTGCTGACACAGCACAGTCAGACCAGTTACACAGCCCGCCAGCCCCTATGACCGACCTTTAGCTTCCCCAGCTCAAACTGTAACATGTTCTGACTGGAGGGCAGGGAGAAGACAGCCGGGAACAGCTTGGTGTTGGGCTCCACCTGAAACACAGCAATGTAACTGAAACAACACAACTGCACAACACTACATGGGCTTTATTGTAGAGAGTATGTTTATATTACAGGGGTGTTGGTAAAAGTGTTGGGAGTTTGTAACCCCTAGAGTGGCTCTACTAAAAGAAAGACAGATCACCTGGTAGAAGGTATTTATCTCCTTCCCATTGGCTGTGAAGGTCATGAGTCCTGTTGCCAGGTCAACTAGGCAGCCAATCACAAGGTCCTCTTGGGTGATGCGGGTCTGCTGGGAGCTGTTACTGAACTCGCCCGCCCATACCATGTAGCAGTTACTGCGCTTCATACTGGCGCGAGAAACAGAGAGAGGGAAGAGACGAGTCAGGGAGAGGGAGAGGAGAGTGGTCAGGGAGAAGAGGAGATGACGGGT